CACACACACACACACACACACACACACACACACACACACACACACACCTTTCCACAAAAATCCTAATTTTGACTAAGATGATAGTGGTTAAGAGGTCTCTTCCCTATAGGAAGTCTTCCCACATTCACTCTAGCTGTTAGATGCTCAACACTGTTTCTCACTAGTTGAGACTCTAAGGTTAAACAGAATCTGGCTGGACAGAGGGAAAAACAACACCAAATGTCTTTGCTCTGGTTGAATAATGTCTTTCAGCCAGCCACCCCTTTCCCGACTTCCCATCTGCATTGTTAACACCTCACTTACAGACTTACCCTAAGGACTAAAAGTTTGACATATAACCTGGTGACCTGGTGCACAGGCTTATGTGTGATAGTTGTTGTTTCTTTTATTTAAAAAAAAAATATATATATATATATATATATTTATAGTTTAGTAACTATATATCCTGATTGAAGACCACTTCCTCAACTCCTCCAAGTCTTACCCTCTCTCCCTCTTACCTCCAGCCCCTTCCCCTAGTCCACTGAAATGGGGAGTTCTCTTCCCTTGCCATCTGCCCATAGCTTATCAAGTCTCATCAGGACTGCCTGGATCCTCTTCCTCTGTGGCCTGGCAAGGCTGCATTGCCAAGGGCAAGCAGTCAAAGAAAAGACAACTGAGTTCATGACAGAGGCAGCCCCTGCTCCCCTTACTCGGGAACCCACATGGAGACTGAGCTGCCAATCGGCTACATCTGAACAGGAGGTCTCTGTCTCCATGCATGGTCCTTGGTTGGCGCATCAGTCTGCACGATCACATGGGCTCAGATCTTTTAGCTCTTTTGGTCTTCTTGTGGGGCTCCGATCTCCTCTGTGTCCTTCTGTCTCCCCTCTTCTTCCATAAGACTCCCTGTGTTCTGCCCAAAGTTTGGCTGAGTATCAGCATCTGTTTCAATCCCCTGTTGGGTGAAACCTTTCAGAGGACCTCTACCGGTAGGATCCCATCCAGTTTCCTCTCTTCCACCGCTTCTGGTGTCTATCCTGTTTGCCATTCTGAATGAGATTTAAGCATCCTCCCTAGCGTCCTTCTTGTTTAGCTTCTTTAGGTCTGTGGATTTTAGTATGTTTATCCTGTATTTTATGGCTAATATCCGCTTATAAGTGAGTGCATATCAGGAGGGTCTTTCTGTTTCTGGGTTACCTGACTAAAGTTAAGAGCACTGCACAATAGTTATTAATGAAGATTATCTGAATTTGATTCATCTGGCTTGAAAATAGAAATCTACATCTATGTTATAAAATGGACATTTACTCTATCAGCAGTGAGAAATGAAAGACTAGGGGCTCTGCCAGGCTACGCCAGCACCATGGTAGTGCTAACGCCTCCCGAGGAGCTCTCTCCTTTCTGCCACTTCCCACGTGCTGCCACATTTCCCCATGTGGCCTATGCTCTGAAATTACTATGATTACGCATTGTAATTATAAAATCTGCACTGGGACATCAAGTACTGCTATCATGAGGTCTTTTTTTTTTAAATTAAAAATGCATCTTCCTTTATGAGAGTTAAGACAGTTAACTGATTCATCAGCAAGTCTACAAGGAAAATGTGAGAGCTGAATTCTGGTGCTGCAATTCTCAAGCTGCTGGGTAGCTTAGAGTCTACAGACAGGATATTCAAACAGGCTGCCTGTGATTCCACAAACAGAATACCATTAAAACAAATATATCTACGATCTAGTATAGCTCAATCACCTTTGCATAGTGATGAAGAAGGCAAGCCAACGTGTCTATTTGCTGAGACTGACTCCATGGTTCCACGGACCTTTCCAATGAAGACATTGTGTATTTCTGCGAAGTAGCAAGGTATAATGTGGAACAGCATTCAAAGTGATGTGACTGAAATTCAGTCTCTGGCATTACATCATTACCGTGAGTTTCTTCCTCTCTACGCCTCAGCAGTTCAGTGGACAAACTCCTCTTTAAATACCCAGAAGGAACCTTTACTTCAGGGTTCCTGTGAAAGGTAGATTCTGGTTTGGTGTTCCTGATCCTCTCAGTTTCATCATCATCATGACTGGCCTAGCCCTGTATAAAAGACCTGCTAAGGTTTCTGAGGCCTGCATGTGTGTTACCATGGCTACTGTCCTCTCTTCACTAGTGTGACATCATCCTTTTGACTTATGGTTGTGGAAGGAGAGGCGGTGTTTCTTATTTTTCCACTGTCAGTAGTGAACGTTCTAGCCACAACCATTTGATTGACAGCAGGACTTTGGGCAGATTTCAGTAATGCAGATGACTATAATGCCTGTCAAGTCCCTGCTACCTTAGAATTCCAATGACAGCACAATTGGAGTTGATGGAGAATGGCTGTCCCTTGGCTAGGTTAAGCATACATATGCTTTATAATAATGTAATATTTTGACTGAAGGGAAGTGGCCATACTATATGTTACAGTTGCGGGTGGCTAAGCAAAACAATGTCAGCAGTAGCATGACAGCCAGGGGCACATCCCAGGCAGACTTCTAGTAGCCTTCTCCACTGGGAACATAAACGTGAAACAGAAGTGTGCAATTGCAAGAACCTCCTGAGGAGATGCAAAGCCTTTGGCTTTCCCCCGTTTGCAGAGCAATTAAAATAATACATGGGGAAGAGATTAAATATGTAGTTTTTTTTTTTTTTCTGGAGGAGAAACTCTTTGGGGGATTATTCATTGGTTAGAGAGTTAAGGAGTTGGGGGGGGCAAAGCAGAGGAAGGAGGGGAAGAGAGGCTGCTTCTGAACAATAGTCTTTGTATTCCCCCACTCCCAATGCCCTACTTCATCACAGTCAAAAGCCAAACCAAGCAGATTAACTCCTTCACGTCAATCACCTCGTGCTAGGATTTTCACAGATCACTTTTCACATCTTAAACAAGAATAATCTGCTGTAAAGCCTGTCTCTGGAAGCAGTATCTGGTGAAGGAAGCTCAGGGTTTGTGGAGAGGATTCACAATTTTGGGTCAGAAACTCATTCATTAAAAGTCAAGTTTCTCATGTGTTGTCCCCAGGTTCCCAGGGGAACCTGTCCTCCTTTCAGCTGACCTCAGCCAGGTCTCCAGGAGCATGAGATGGACTCAGCGGGTGGCTGAGAGCTCACACAAACAATTCTTTAAGAAGTTGGAGATGAGGGAGGGAGGGTGGGATTGGGAGGGAATGAGGGAGAGGGCTACAGCTGGGATACAAAGTAAATAACCTGTTATTTAAAAAAAAAAAGAAGAAGTTGGTCCTTAAATCTGTAGTGGGTAAGTGAAACGGACATGCAACGATACACATCTGCTCCATTGCTCATTTGAACTGTTCCCAGGAAACACAAGTCTTATAAAGAGACATATACTTACAGAACATCTTTCTCTAAGCTCTATAATGTCTTGAGTGTGTTATAGCCTAACAATTCTAAGAGATCTTTTTAAAAACTTCATTGTTAGCTCTTTGTCTTCCAAGTCAATGTGTGAAAAAATGAATTAATTACACCTTTACATCCTTAAAAGTATACATTCTCCCTTATGCCTGTGCACAAGAAGACACAGAAGAATCTTTAAGTGACCTGTACGAGGACAATGAACATTAAAGGTATGGGCTGTTAAGTCCCTATTTATAACTTAGAATAGAACTTTGAAGCCTACCTCCTCCTCTCTCCTTCTCCTCGTCGCTTTCTTTCAGCATCTTGCCAACAGAATTATACCACTTAAATTCTAGGTCAGGAATGCCATAAACACTGCAATTAATCAAGGCACTGTTCCCCTCCTTGACTATGATATGGTCAGTTCTGGCAATGATTACAGGCACGGAGCCCAAGACCACGTCAGTGCCATTTAAAGTGCTGTTGGCTACACTCTTAGCAGTCGCTAGAATGGATACTAGAATTAAAAAGGGCACAGAAGGTGGTAAGCACGCAGGCAGATGGCTATCCAGTAGATCCATCTTCTTTGCTTGTTCCGTAAGGCGAGAGACGGTTTGCCAATGGAATCTTCTATCAGACTGTATACTGCTCAGAGCAGGCCATGGGACAATCCTGTCCTGAATCCATGGAGTTGGTATCTGATCAAGAATCTGTTAAAAAAGAAAATCATAAACATACAAATATTAACACTGATACATTAAATAAAACTTATAAAATAATAGCAATCCAGCTAAGGTATAAATCCTTATTCTCAAATAAAACACATATTCTGGTGCTCCAATATTAATTTATATGACAGAAATCTTTTTTATTTTTATTTTTAATTAATTTTTAATTTATTACAATTTGTTCACTCTGTATCCCAAATGTAGCCCCCTCCCTCCCTTTTCTCCTATGCCCCTTCCCCAGTCCAATGATAGGGGAGGTCCTCCTCCCCTTCTATTTGACCCTAGATTATCAGGTCTCATCAGGACTGTGCACATTGTCTTCCTCTGTGGCCTGGAAAGGCTGGGCCCCTTCAGGGCGAGGTGATCGAAGAGCCAGCCACTTAGTTCATGTCAGAGACAGTCCCTGTTCCTCTTACTAGGCTACCCCCTTGGAGACTGAGCTGCCATGGGCTACATCTGTGCAGGGGTTCTAGGTTATCTCCATGAATGGTCCTTGGCTGGAATATCAGTCTCAGAAAAGTCCCCTGGGCCCAGATGTCTTGGTTCTGTTGCTCTCCTTGTGGAGCCCCTGTTCCCTCCAGGTCTTTCTATCTCCCCCTTCTTTCACAAAATTCCCTTCACTCTTTCCAAAGTTTGGCTATGAGTATGACAGAAATCCTAACAGTATACATTTATATTTCTGTATTAAAACAATTACAAATATATATATATATATATATATATATATATTTGGTTTTTCCAGACAGTGTTTCTCTGTGTAGCCTTGGCTGTCCTGGACTTGCTTTGTAGACCAGGCTGGCCTCAAACTCACAGATATACACCTGCTTCTGTCTCCCTGATTACAGGCATGAGCCACTGTGTCCAGCCAAATAGATTTCTTATGCTAAATTGATACCATCTTACTTTTGTGTTGTTTTTATCTCTTTTTGGTTTTTGTTGAGACAGGATATCACACAGCAGTCTTGCTGCAGATTTGCTATGTAGCTGAAGGTAGCATTGGTAAACTCCCAATTCTCCTGCCTCTAACCTAAGTATTGAGAGTATAGACACGCATCCCCACATGTGAATATTACATTGCTTCTTAATTTACACTACTTCTTACTTCTACATTACCTCTCGATTTACACTTTTTAAAATTACTTTTTAATTACTTAGTTTACAAGGTTCGTCTACCCCCACCCCGTCATGATAACCTGAGCATCCCTTCTTCCTTTTCAAAAAACATGACCTTTAGTGCATTTCATTGATCCCAGAGCAGACTATGCCAGAATCAATTCTCATAACGCCTCATTATAACTTCCATACCTCGGCCACTTTCCCTATCTCTATGAACTGCCTGGACTTTCTCCCTCTCACAAGTATTGTGGTTACCCACTGACTAACAGTCGCTTACTGGATTCCCTGGTCTTGATCTTCATCTGCCTCCCTGAGGCTGGGTAACATCATCAGGAGGTCTAGGGTACCATGATGGCTCTTCTGTGTCTAAGGTCTAACTCTCACTTCCTCCTTCAGCTCCCATTTCATCCATTACTCCCCTAGCCACACCCATGTGTCCAAATTCTAAATTCTGAAGTTCCAAGTAATTCCCAGGTTCTAAACAAAACACCTTTATGGCCTTTCTGATTCATGTTTTTCTCAGTCTCATTCCCCATATATGACTTTCATGGTTTATTTATGTTTCATTCAGACCCAACCAGATAGACCACAGAATACAACATCTTCTCTCCTTGTCTTCATGATATATTTACTCAGCCCGTCGATGACCTTGATCAAGCTGACCGTTTTTTGTCCTCACTTCTACACTCAGGAGGCAGAACACTGCTGGGGAAAACTGCTCAACCATGTAATTGCTTTGATAATGAAGGAATGATCTCTGACTCCTGCCAGGCATTAATGACATCTGCTACTCTACTTGCACTCACTTGGTCCAATATTGTCTTTCCATACAGCTTATGACATCATCAGCTTGAGAATCATGTGTCTTAACTCAGTGGCATTCTAGTCTTTTAAGAGCAGAGACCATCTTTCTTTTACCATTGCTTCGGGTCAGACAGACCCACTACCTTAGTCCATGTTTTAGAAAGCATCTTGTATCTTATGCTCAGCTCCTTATGTGCCACTTCCTCTCCCATGCTATCATGTTCTATATTTTGCTTCCTCTTTCTTGAAGAAGCTCTAGCTAAGACCACCAATCACTCCTTACTGTCAAGCTGTTACCTTCTTCTACCCAAACCATTATAGCAACTGGTATTATTAATTATTCCTTTTCAAAATTCTCCTTCCATCATTTTCACACTTAGTTATTACTGAATGCTTTAAAAATATTGAGATGGAGTGTCACTTTGAAACCTAGATGGTTTCTGAACTCTCAGTCCTCCTACTTCTGCATTCCCAGTGCTTGAAGTACAGACAGTAGTCACCAGGCCCAGCACCTGCTATCATGGTCTTCTCATTTCTTGAAAATTAGTTAATTCCCAGGGTTCATTATTAGCTTCCTCCTTCTCTCAATTTTTTTTCTCTCTCTCTGTCCCTGTCTCTCTCTCTAGTGCATAGTCATGTTTAAGGTTTCATCCAATGCTTTTATTCCCATCCAAATCCTTTTGTGTCCAAAGTCATTTCTTTAATCCCTTTTTTGAGTTTCTGGTCAGTGTGGTCAACTTCCCACTAGCCATCTTTGGCTGGGTATTTTGTAGTCACTTCAAACTTGACATTACAGGAAAAATACATTTTTTTGTACTCAAATTATGCTTTATTTCTTGGATCCATTATTTTTGTTCAGGGTCCTGTCATCTGTGAAGGTCTGTATCTGTAGTTTCATTTCCTAGAGCGTCAGTAGACACACACTGTTTATTACACTTCAAGAACCACAATGACTAGCCCAGCAAAATATTTCCAATGGTGCAATCATTGCATTGGCATCTTAGAAAAACAAACACCTATCTAATTTGAATTAGGGCCTACTCAGTTTGATGGTGCCTACACCTGTGCTTCGAAACTATGGCCTATGCATGGCTGGAGAGGTCAACAGACTCCAGTAGACAATTGGCTTCTACCACTGTCCTAAATCAATATAACTTTAAACTATATTTTAAAGACGTATTCTTATACCCAAAGTTAGGCAGAACTCCTACACCTCATCACAAGCTTCTTTGGCAGCAGATAGAAACTACTATAGAAATCCATTAACTGGTCAATATGCAGAGAATAAGAGACTGTGGGGTAAGCCATCCCCAATTACTGTATCTATACCAAAACTCCTACAGTTCACTGTGACTTTATGAACACAGTGGAAGGAGGTGGAAAGATTTTAAGATCCAGAGTACCAGCGTGCCTGATGCAAGACAGTGTCTTCTAGGCATGCCAGGGAAGCTCCACCCATGAAATCTCAACCACACAGTTGCCTCAACAGGCCCTTCAAGATAATCCCACAAGTAGATACGACAACAAGGATGAAGGAAGTCTCATGAGGCCCCACCCCTAGATGAAGAAGTACAACAGTCAACAGCAGAACTGGTTTTCTCCAGGGAGCAATCCCCTGATGAAAGGTTCTCTAGTTCTAGTGGTTGGCCCTAAACAGGTGGACATATGAGCAATGGTAAATGGACTTAGTAGAGTATTTACAAGTATGTAACTAATAATTTTAGAAGAAGAGGCAATGAATCTGAAAGCAACTCACTGTGAGAAACTGGATGGGAGGAAGGATATAAATGATATAAACACAGTATACGCATATATGAAATTCTCAAGAAAAAATTAAAAATAATAATAAATGGCTGTGACCCCTGGTAGGTTGACCACTTTTAAGTGGGTAGGTTGCACATCCAGGAATGTATAATAGTGCAAATTAGACTTAATGGTTTTAAGAAAAAAAAATGAAATTGGGTGGGTGGGAAAGGCAAGTGGGTCTAAGAGAAGTTGTGGGAGGGAGGATGAACAAGATCAAAACAAATTATTTGAAAATTTCAAAGAACTAATAAGAACAAATAATTAAAAACAATTAAGAATATTGACTGTATCATTTTTCATCCTTGCCACTGCCTCTTCTGAGAAACTGTATGACATTATCAACTCTGACTCCATAAGCACCTTATCAGAAGTTGTGTGGCAGTCTTTTTGAATGACTTGTTCATTCCTTCTGTAGCTCCCTGTTGGGTTTCTATAGCTGTCCATAGAGAACTGCCTTCCATAGCCCAAATCATTCAGGGCTGCTCCTTTGTGTTTCTCTTCATCCCATGCCACAAAAATCTCAACTTTATTGAACAAGTCTTATAGGCAGACTCTACTCTCAGTCTTGGAGATACAAAGGCAGACACCAAAGATTGTTTATGAGAAGTGGGGCTTACAGTCTCAAAGAAACAGAAAGTAACTAAGTACATGTAAAAGTATGAATATCAATGTGTGACACATGTTTAGAAAAGCACACTGTGATATGCTTAGTGCTGAGTCAGGTAGTTAGGGAGAACTTCACCGAGAAAGTTATACCTGAGCCAGGGGTTTCATTGCCAAGACCTTGAGGAAGAGAATTCTGGGTCAAAAGGAACAGCAAAGGAAGGATCCTGGATGAGGAACCACCACAGGAGTGGGTGCTGTATGATGAGGGAAAGTAACACAGGTCCTGACCAATGACTTTGCAAGTCAGAATAAGGAGTCTGCATCTGAGCTAATGCTCACTGAGAACATTATGCAAGGGAACTGGAAAACATTTTCAAACGCAATACTGTATGTATTATTTACATACAGTAATCCTTACCCACTTGAGATATATATTTCTGTGCCTATGCAACTGTCACAATAAATAAGATTAAAATGCTTTTCTCACCCAGAGTTCCTTATTATCCCCTTCCCAGTTTTCACATTCAAGTGGTTTCTGAGCATAGAAATGGGTTAAGGCTCATCTCCCCATATGGATACCCAGTTCTCTTAGCACCATCTGTAGAAAAGACTATCCTCGCTCCAAAGCATTGCCTTGTCTTCCTGTCAAA